AAAAAAAAAAAAAAAGAAAGAAGAAGCATAGTTTCAGTCTACACAAATAAAATTTTAATCATTTATAGCACACCAGCCTCTAAATGATACAAGTGAATAGCGTGCCTTTGTTACCCCAGTAGCATATGATTCTTATGACAACAAGAAGCTCATCCACGAAGTACAGATATTTACAACCAATGCTCAATATTTTTTTCTGCCAGAAACAGTACTGGTTCTTCACAATGCGAAATAGCCAATTGCAAGAATAACCTGGTTCCAAGCTACAAACCGGAGGTGACCTTCAGATGATTCAAAAGGAAGCATCAATATAAGTATACATGTGTATATATACACTCTTCTGAGATCGAGTAGGACATACACAATACCTGTCACTACACTCACCTTCTAATCAAAACCCATGTATGCTCCAGCAGCAAACAGCTGCATTTGCAAAAACTGTGGAGCTACATTCTATCAATAGGCTCGGTATGGCCCTGCACTGCCAAACGCTCTGACACATCAGCTAGTGATTTGAGGTTACACCGGATTAGGGCCTCAACAAAGAAGCATGTTTCATCCTTAGTATTCCCATCTGGTACATCTACTACAAATGACTCGATTACAATTGTTCCAGGTCTCCCATCAATGACCTCAGGATGAACAGTGATAATCGACGAGTAGTTCTGCCACGTTTTCAAAGAAAAAGGAAAACAGTCACTTGCTATCCATCTCAACGAATTATTGTAGATATAAAGTAGTAATATCTCTATTTCTCAAACAAAAAGCATAGCACTCCACAAGATGCAAATACACACTGCCATAACTTTTACTGCACAGGGTGGAACGAAAGCTGGCTCGGATTACGCATATGCAAGAACGATATTTTCATGATGGCTATGTGTATTTGGTGAAGACAAAGAAAAAACGAATGAAGAAAAGGAGCATATTAAGAGATTAACATATTGAGTTGAGATAGCGCAAGATAGGTTCCTTGAACTTCAAATGAGCCTCTCACAGAGGAAAGTTGTCTATCCATTCTTATAATTCATATCCTTAGCAGGTCTTTTTCTTTTGCATCATTATGGTAATCAAATATTTGGATCAGATACTTCATAAGAAAAGGGGGAAGGGGAGTTGCACAATCTTATTTTGGCACACTTTTCTCATGAAGGAAAAGTTATCCTTGCATTCACTTCTTCATTCGACATGTACCATCTGAACCGCTAATAGCTGCACAATCAACAACTGTTGCTACTGCCTCAATCCCAAACTAGTTGGGCTAAACGAATCTTCAGCATTCATTCCACTCAATCTGGACCTCTTTTTCCTGAAGGCAAACTACCTTGGAATAACTTCTCCCAAGGGAAGCTATCTAACCAGTCTTATAAATTCATTGTCTTAACAGGTCATTTTGCTTTCCATCACTCCACTTATCAAATATTAGCATTACACACTCACAGGATAAAAAGAAGCTGAGAAATCTTGTTTTGGTAAAAGGGTCCCACATCCCATGCTATATTCTCATTGCACGTGTGTACCAATACTTCTTCCAGAAACAGCAAAATGACTCGTTATGGAGGAAAATTGACCAGGCATTTATTTCTCCATTTCCTAACCAAAGACAGTTAATGAACAATACAAAGTTACTTCATTTTTTATGAATGAAACAATTTAACATGCTTACCATCTGAAACACTAAAGTTCCACAACAGAAACCATGCAAGATCAAACTTGATATCAGCTATAAGTTCGTCTATCCCATTATATGCGACACTCTTTTCTTTTTAGTTAGTCTCGAAAATATTGACATTTCAATTTTACCATTACTGACATGAGTAATTGGGATCCCAGTTGATAAAAAAGCTTATGTTTTATAAAGAGAGGGGAACATGAAGGGATGTGTGGAACTTACCATCTCCCGCTTAATTGTTGCTGTCAAGGTCAACTTTGGTACTTCGCATTTATTTAGCTTATGTATCAAACACATCCACAAAGGAAAGACATTTGAATAAGCAATGGTAACATCGATGAATGCTCAAGTTTCAAGTCCAAATGTTGTGTGTACATGTGCATAACCTATGTCGCGCGGACTCTCCAAAATGATGCCGCACCTCTATCGGATCCTCCAAAAATACACTATTTTTGGAGGATCCGACACGCACCCGGCTACATTTTCGCAGAGTCCGAGCAACATAGTGCATAACTAGTAAATTCTTGCGAATCTCATTCCACACAATGGATGGTTAACTTATAATGATGCCAAATCAAATAAGAAGTCTTAAGTATTTATCAGCTTTTCTAAATAGAATGCTGGAATAAACATTGTTTTGATCTATATCTAACAGTTTTTGTTCTGGTTGAAGAAGTGGTCAGGAAATACAAAATTAGAGGTGAGAAGGAGGACAAGGGTAAACCGCCTAAACAAGGACAAGTTAGTACTCATGTGCCAAAGACTCCTCAGTGAAGTTCTCAAGTACATCTAGCATTTGATACTAGAGAAGTAATCAGAAAGTTGAATGGTGGGAACATCTAATCTAGTTGTAGCGACCAAGTAAAAATAGCAAGGATTCAAGTACATATAAACCTTCTACAATGCAAAGCCTATCCCACCCAACCACAACATGGGAAGGAGCATAAAATAGTCAACATTATTGCAGTTATATGCAGATGCATGATTGTTAGCGGGAAACATGGTTTCTTACCATTCAAAAGACGCTTGGATATACATTTCTTCTCTTACCATTCAAAAGATGCTCGAATATATATATTCCTTTTTTACTGAATAAATTCAACTTCAGTTAAATACCATAAAATACACAAACACCTTGTCTTACACACATGCTCACGTCTACATCCATCCAAAGCATTATTTCCTATGCATTTTCTGTAAGAAGATAAAAGATGCATACCCTAAGCCTGTGATCTCCACCAACAATCTTCACGCCAAAGATGTGCTCCTCGTCATCTAGAAGCTCTAACCTCTCCTTGCTGGTGGTGGCCGGAAGACCCGATCTAACATTTACTTCTCTCACACTCCCAATTTCAAGGTCCCCTTGCACGACGCACCTGCTGACGAATGGTTTGTACCTTTGTGGTTGATCAAACCTTCTCACCAATGACCATACCTATGAAAAATACCACATCAGTAAGAGCTCAGCAAGAATATATATGGTACATTCAGTCACACATCCAATGATTGGTAACATATGAAATCAAGTAGGAGTATATAATGCAGTTTGGTTTACCAAAGCCATTTCCATCTCCAAATGCAAACTAGGAGAACATCTTAGGTTATGAAACAATTCAATAATGTATGTATAAAAATATATTTTCTTCTTTACCTCAAAACAGCAGCGAAATATTTACCTCAAAAACTCATGCACTATTGTTCACTGTATTACTTAACTTGTTTTTAAACCAAGCGAACCTTAAGTGACAGTGAAACTTTTATACAATCTAGCAATTTGTCATAAGATATTTAATTTATTTTTTAGGTTATCCTATAAAACTTGAAAAATTACGCACTGCCCTAGGTCAATTCAATCTCGCAAAGTCTCCGTAACAAGTTGATTGCATATAGATCTGAGAAGAAATTGGGGAAATATATAAAATAAAAAAAAATAAAAAAAAAGAGCAAGCTTACAAGATTAACAGGAGCTCTGATGCGCTTAACAAGTGAAGAGCTACACTGATCGTCCTTGATCACATGCCTATGGTGTCTCCTAATATACTCTTCCTCCATTATTGTTCAGAGTAAACGTGGTGAAAATTCAATGGAACGGTTTTGAGAATAGTGTAGAAGATTTGAGAGTGTGAATTAGAAGAGTCCAAAAGCCATCGCCATTGGAACTTCCGATGGCTGAATGGTCCAAAATTGCTTCATTTTTAATTTAAATTAAAAAACAAATACAAGTTGTACATAGCAAGTGGGTTTTGAGGGGGGTCCCTTTTGTTTAAACAAAATTATCATTGGTCATTTGTTTGGTTTAAACTAAAAGGGAAACTTACTTTTTTGACAAGAGAGAGTATTTCAATATTGGCGAATCAAAGCCTAGTTGAAGAGGATAAAGCATATTATTGGATAATTCTAGATTTTATTTATGTATCCTCTAGCTTTTCCCCTTCATTTTGTTCGTTTTTACTTTTAATCTAATGGAATATTCGGATCCACAAGTCATAGATCGTCGGCTGTGCCACTACTAACGGAAAATAAAATGGCAATAATGATGATTAAATCAAACAATTTTTAAAAGGCCACTAATAAGTCTATGATTTTACTCCTAAATTTCAGAGACATTTCTTGAGATTTGACTTTAGAACATAATTTTTTTTTTTGGTTTACGATATTATGCATATTTTGTTATTCTGATTTCTTTTGCGACAAATTATTTTAACCTATTTATCATTAATATAAAAAATATATAATTTGGTGAATTTTTTCATTGTTTAACATACTCTTTTATATAATTAATTATGCAATTTTTTTTATAAGATATCACTAAGTCTACAAATTTATGCCTAAATTAAATTGAATAAATATTAACCATCATTTCATTGATTATAAAGTTATTTTTATTTAGGGTGGGGTAAGGGTGACAAGTGGGTCGGTCCGGGACCGCGGGCCAAACAGGCCAAGACCGGTAGGACCGGTATTCGTGGGCCTGGTCCGGGCTTCTAGGCATGTTCAACCGTAAAGACCGCTAGGACTGTTTGGGACCGGGACCGGACTGGTCCCTGGTGGGCCAAACGGTCTCAACGGTCAAATTTCAAAAATAGCCGTTGGGGAATTTAAAATCTAGTAGTTGGCTGTCACAAAATAGTCTTTGGCTATTTACAAAATAGTCATTTAACCCCCAACTTTGTTTTAACCCCAAACTTTTTATAATTATACTTTTTCCCTATTTTCAATTATAAATACCC